TAAATTGTTTTTAAAAAATCAAAAATAAAACTAAAAAATTAGCATCCTAACTCAATTTAACAAAATTATATGGGTAAAAATTTATCTCTCAGCAATAGAAACTATTCCAGTCCATGAATATATAGTGTCTCTTTACTCACTATTTTTCAATGTCATTGAACCAAATTTTTCATTTTTCTATAGATAGATCTCAGTATGAACAAGTATATGTGTTTTGTTCTATTTATGGCATGCATACTTCATTATTTTGATTTATAAATGTTTAAAATTTTAAATACTCTTTGTTATATACAACTAATCAAGTTTATATTAATTTTGTATTTTTCATATTTCTTACATTTGCTTATGTGTACTATGAGATTTGGGGATGTTACTTTTTATAATGATCTATGTTTTCTACCTATTTCTTTATTCTTCTAAAAATACAGTTTTATTTCTTCTCTTTAAAACTATATACATCTTACTTTGTTTACTATTACCCTAATGGACCAAAATAAAAAGTTGTATATGAATAATGAGTAAAGGTATCATTGCATTTTTACTTAATTTAAAGACAGTTAATTTTTTTTTAGCATCAAGTTGCATATTTCAAGATTTGTTGTGTTTTTGGTGGTTTATAAATTTTAAATCTGCACAAAGTTTACTGAGAATTTTATCATCATTGTTGTGCTGAGTTTTGTCAAATGCTTTAAACTGCTTGAAATAATATGATTAGGTATCTTAGTTTCCTTTATCTGTTGATTAATGGCTTGTATTGCTTGATTTTCTGGTTTTGACCAATACTACTACTAAAATAAATATTACATAGTCCAAATAAATAATTGTTTTACATTTTTCAAGATGAAAAAATATGTTAACTACCTAGAAATCAACCTGTTATGCTTTGTGTCTAGTTGTCCCCCCAAAGCCTCATGAACTCATGGAGTGGACATCTAGAGTTTGTGATTAACTCATGATCCACTGGAATTATGGGTGTGAGTGCTCCTGGGATTATAGGTGTAAATGCTCCTGGGATTATGGGTGTGCATGCTACTGGGATTATGGGTGTGAGTGCTAAACTCAGCCTGGGCAAATAGCCTGAGCTCCACATAAGGGAGACAGACTTGCTCTGTGCGGCCATGGCTGCTACTACTCCTCCCTTTTGCTCGCTCCTCTTTGCTGTCACCATGGAAGGCTGCCCTCTGCCATGTGCTGCTCTGCCTCAGAGCCCACTGAGTGTGGACTGAAACCTCTGCTAACCGTGAGCTAAAGAAACCTTTCCTTCCTTCATTTTGGGTGTCAGATGTTTGTCCCAGCCAGGAGAGAAGAGTAAACAAGACACAACCTAACCAAGGAGGTAAAAAGTTTCTAAAACAAAAAGAAGAGAAATGTGAACAGAGACCAAAGAGCACATCAGAAAATGGAGGACACCCCTGCTCCTCGACAGGTATAACCAATGTCATCATGACGGCTGTATTAGGAAAAACTGATAACAAATACTTCATGCAATCCTTACCAATATGTCAACACCATTCTTCAGAAAACTAGAAAAAAATCCTAAAATTTATACAGGACTAGAGAGACCCAAAATAGTGAAGACCATCCTGAGCACACAGAGTAAAGCAGGAAGCACCACAATTCCTAATTTCAAGTGATACCTTACAGCAACACTAACAAAAAATGGTATGGTATTCACACAAAACCAGACACACCGACCACTGGAATCCAATGGAAGACATAGAAACAACACCTTGTATCCTCCAACATCGATTTTTTATAAACAAGTTAAAAATATATCCTGGAGAAAGATCATCTTTTTAAAAACTGTGCTGGAAAAACTTTCTATTCTATGCACTGAGAAAAATGACTTAGCAATGTAAAATTTTAAATGAACAAGGGGAGAAAGCACTTCCATATTTCTAATTCTAAACTTTCCAATTGATACCATTAAATTCACACTTCTGGTCTTCTTTATACACTCACTGCAACTACAGTTCCTACCCAATTTAATTTCAGTCTGTAGTAGAGTATCTGTTAAATGATACACATAATGATGAATGGAAGAAAATCAATCACGAAAATGACTTAGTCTTAGCATGTCAGCCTAGTGACTTTACATGATACAGAACTGCCACCAAATGCTGCATGTGGCAGAAGAGCAGACAGCAAGGAGTGATGGAGCCTTCACTCTTTATCATAAAGTGGGAGGGAAGAGTCTAATGCAAGGTTAGTAGTTCAGAGCATCATGTCATTGATCACTTAGAATATTAGTAATATCGTGGCCTCTAAAATTTTGTTTCTGTTCTAGTAAGTTTACATGTTGTATCAGTCATTCTGTTAACACTAGTATGAGATACCCAACACCCATACATTAAAAGAAGGAAGGTTCTTTTCGGCTGATGGCTGTTAGCAGGGTAAGCCCATGGCCAGTTGGATCCAGGGCAGAAGGGCTAGGCTGAGGAAGGCGCTGGCTCCATGGAAACGTAGAAGTAGAGAAGGTGGGCAGGAGCAGGGAGGAGAGCACATTCCTTCAGGCCACTCTAGAAACACCGCTCCTTCCCTCCTAGCCCCACGCTCAGTCACTGATCTCATCGATGAATCCACCGATGATGCCAGTGTGCCATGATCCAATCACATTTCAGACTTTCCCCTCTGAATTATGATACTTGTGGGCACATTCAAGATATAAACCCTAATGTTCTTCCTCTGGCCCCACAAAGCTCCTGTCCATCTCATGTGAAATATATGTAGTCTATCTCTAAGAGTTTCCTGTCTCAACAGTTTCAACAGTATTTTGGTTTTTTGGTTTTTTTTTTTTTTTTTTTTTTTGCTCCTCAAATGCCTTCAGGGCACTTTTGGCTGGCTGGAGTGTTGTGGGGATCGAACTACAGCAACCGGAGGCTGACAGCTTTGTGGAAGCAGCCCCTTAAAGAACTGAGCTAGGGCCAGGACCCCTTCAACAGTATTTTGTGAAAATTCAAATCCAAAGTCTCTCTAACACTCAAGGCAAAATCTTAGCTGTAAGTCTCTGTAAAAAATAAAAAGAAGAAAATACTTTCAACATACAACAGTACAAGATAAACATTTCCATTCCAAAAAGGAGGAACAGAGTGATAAAAAGGAATCAGACTAAAGCAAGACCAAAACCCAGCAGAGTAAATGTTCAATCTGCATCTGGTGTCTGGGACACACGGTCATCAGGTGTGAGCTCCAGGCATGAGTAGCCCTGCCGCCTGGCTGGCTGCACACCACAGGGCCTGTCTCATGACCTGCTTGTGCTCTGAGTCTGTAGCTTTCCCCAGCAGAGAAGATCCACATGGCCAGCAGCTCCAGCTTCTCGGCGTTTCCACTGTACCTTTAGCTGTTTTTAAAATAAGCTCCTATTTTTCACTATAAAGCTGGTTGAAAGTAACTAGCAGCGCTCGGACCACAGCCTCAATGGTTAGGCCACCTTGAGCATTTCCCTCATGAGCCTGACCTACCCACCGTGCTGTCTTCCGTCAGGATGGAGCTGCAGGATGGGTAAATGAGGACACATTTGCTGGCACAGCACAACCCCTTGGCCTCTCGGATGGCTGACAATCGGGTCTTTATGCCAAGCTGAAACCTCTGGAGCTTGACCTTTACCATCCGCACTCCTATCAGCATTCTGGCTTTCCGAACTCCAACCAGAACCGCCCATCGATCTCTGGGTGTAGCCATCTAGGGGTTCTCTACCACGCATCTGAAGAGCTCCCCGGCAGGTCAGAGGCTTCTGGGCCACATGGTCAGGCAGAGTCCTGGCAGCAATCACACCTCCATGATGCTCAGCTTCTGTACTGGTTGCATGGCTGGGACAAAACACCTGACGCCCTCAACTTTAAGGAGTATGGGTTTATTTTGGCTCATGGTGCTTACAGGACTCACTCCATGTTTGGCTGGCTCCACACCAGAAACAGCCCACAGCAGGGCCCTGCAGGGGATGCTGAACTCAATTCACAGAGGCCGAGAGGCGGAGGGAGGAGGGAGGAGCCCTGCCGAAGATGCGTCCTGGTGACTTACCTTCTACCAGGCCCAGCTCCTGGCAGCCCACCTAGCGGCGGAGCGTATCACTGGGTAACCCTGCTGATGATGCCATGCCCTACACCTCGTCACCAGCCCAAAGGCCACCTCTGAAAACGTGAGACTTTGGGACACATTTACAACCTAGGTCATAACACCAGTAAGGGCAAAAACTCAGCATCACTCTCTTGTCTCATCGAAGCAGAGCCCTCTTCCCTGTTCATTCTAGTGAAAGCTTCTGTGTAATCTGCAGTGACAAAACGCCGAGTGGTGTTCACGATCTTTGATGTTTGATATTTCACAAACCACACCTACAAATCTGAGAAACAGCACTCTCAAACTAGTTTAAGGATTCTTTTTCCTCAAAACTGTCATTAAGCAATGACTTTCCATTCCTTAATTTCAGACCTCCAAGAGCATCCTGCTTCCATGTACACCAAAGCAACATTAAAAATTAACCCTATAATGGGAGACCTATCCCAAACAGCAAATGAACAGAAAGAATCTATATGAAAAGGATAAAAGAAAATAATGAGGCATTTTTAAACTACATATAATGAAGTTGGCTTTGAGATGTTAAAAGAAACAGTCATGACACTGTTAAAAGAAATATAGTGTTCTGTGTATGACCTGGCATTTTAGAGCAATGCTTTGTAGTTTTCCATCCTGACAGAGCATGTTCATACATATTTTCTGTGATATTTTTTCAACACAGTTTGTTCTTTTCCTTACACTATCACTAATTTTTAATGTCTTTTTCTTTGTTCTATTATTCATTATAGGTTTTAGAATGTCACATTTTTCTTTTAAGAATAACTTCTAAAACAAAAACTATCTTGAAGTCAGGTCAGGAAACTTATGTTAAAGATGCCCTAAAACTAGACTGGAAGAGTTGCAGGCAGCTTTCAGATTTCAAATCACTAGTGACTATGATCAGGGAGGTTGGCAAGCTGCTGTTGGAGTCCCTCACACAGACTCACCTGTCCTCTCTGGAATTTCACTGGCATGTTTGACTTGTGCAGCAGCCTGAGGCCAGAATCGCCCCGCTGTCCATAGAGACAGAGAGAGACGTCAGCCTCGGTTTCTGCTTGTCTCAGCTGCCCAGTGTAGACATCGACGTGGTATCTCACTACTGGCAGAGCCGTGGGGCGGTGGGGGAGCAAGAGGCAATCTGTGACTTCTCAGTCCACAGCAGAACCAATCCCACACTCAAGGTATACTGAAAAACACAACACTGTGTATTTCCCTAAATATGGACTTTCTACATATACTGGGATGCTTCGGACCTTAGATTTTAACTGTAAGTGAGCATTTCACGGCATTAACAAATGTGCACAGTAGTTAATAGCTTTTCCAAAGGAGAAATAAAAGATTCTTTGAAAGGCTCTACTTCATATGACATAGGACATTTTACTCTTAGTATTTTAGAGAGAAGCATTCCTGTATATAATGCTTAAAGTTCAATATGGTGTAAGTTGTTTTGTTTTGTTTTGCTTTTTGTGGCAAAAAGACGGTCCCTGCGCTTGCCTAAGCTTGCCTAAGCAGGCGCTTTAGACCACTGAGCTACCTTGCCAGCCCATGCTGCCAGTTTTGATAAGGAAATAAACTCAAAGTGAGTGATGATATGAGGTATGCGGCAAGTCCCAACAAAACCAGAAGAGACAAGCCCATGACATTCTTTATCTCTCCTAGCCCAGCCTCTATGACAGCAGCTGGACCATAAGAACCACTCTGAGATACATTTAATCCCAAATCCACCAATGATTCATGCTGTGACAATAAAAAAAAAAAATCACTTCTCAATGGGTGAAATAACTCCCTTAGAAGCAGGAAAAAGTATTCCACAATACTTAGAAATAAACTCAAGCAGCTATAAGATTAAATATGATATACACATACCTATTACTGAATATTACTAAGATACCTGGAAAAATAGGTTGCCCTTCTTTGATTACAGGAAGCTCACAAACAAGGTCTCCACCAGCTTGGATCTGAGACAGCCACACGTTTGTTGCAAAATCCAAGATCTTCTTGCTCTTCATATGCTGCATGGTCACCTGGGGTAAGAAACAACAGTGGCCAAGTTGCCTCACTTCCTGTTTTTCACAGAGGTCAGAATTCAAACCGTACCCTAGGCTTGGGAAACAGTGTGTACTCCGGTGGTGGTGGTGGTGGCAGTGGTGGGGGGGCGGGTGGTAGTGGGGTGGTGGCAGTAATGATGGTGGCAGTAGTGGTGGTGGTTAGCAGTTATACCATTCCAGTGGCTGTTGTTTATTTGGCTGCTGATAGTTGCCAAGTATTAGTCTATATATTAATTTTAATCTCTTTTAATTATCACCAAGTAAACTGGTAAAATCTTACATTATAGATAAGAAAATAGAAGCCTGAAGATTTGAAACGCACTCTGTCTGATCTGACTGTCTCAGTTTTTCTGAAGGGAGAGACCGTAATGGTGATGTACAGGAAAACTCCAGAAGAGAGCATGCTTGTATCAGTCACCAACACAAGCTACACAGAGCCCTCTACAGCCAAATGCCTCTCAGGTCATTTCTACCGTCTGTGCCACAGCCACAGTGCCCACAACTCAAGGACACACAGTGTCTTCTCTCACCTGGCAAGGATGCTCGGCACACCCCTGCGCAGGGCCCCTGCTGTGGCTGTCACCCCCACGGTACCCTCCATAGCGTCTTCCTGCAGTCCCAGAGACTAGCAGAGGACTTTCCTGCCCTCCTATCAAACAGGATGTCATGCTGTTCTCCTTTTAAGATGAGAGTTACTATCCCAGACCCAGCCCTGAGCCCTTCCTTCTCTCCTCTTCCTTCCCTAGAAATGGACGCTGTGACATTGTGGTGATTATTCCCGGCCGCCTCTGTCTGCCTCTCTCTCTCTTTCTCAACCCTACCCTTACACTGTTTCCAGAGTTTAAGTTAAGAATTCTGGTCATTTTGTACACTGCTCATGGCTTGTTCAACAGCCCTACCTATCACAGAGTCTGCAGTCCTGAACACAGCGAAGAGTTCTCATATCTAAGACTCTAGTCCTACTTATCTGTTTGGTTCCATGAGCTAGAAATATGTGTTCTCTTAACAGGTTTCCCCATGTTTACCTCTTAGCTATTCATACTCGTAGCTTCCTTCTCACTTAGTGCGTTGAGCATGCCCGGCATTCATCACATAGCTGAGACCCAGCCTCTCTGAAAGTCTGGTTGGGCACCTTCTCTGTGACCTATGGCAGGCTACCCCTTTTCTGACCTCCCTCCTTCAACTGACTTAGAGCAGAGACCTGGTCCGACTCACGCTGGAGCTTCCTCAAGCTTTTGCAAGGCAGGCTGGGTTGTTTGCTGGACAAATGATTAAGAGAGTAAGGGAAACAGGTCTCTGTCAATACAGGTGAGGAGACTGAATCACAGATCTGACCATCAGTGCTTGATTTCATCTGTATTTCACCCAGACAAGAAGCCATGAAAACACTTTTTAAGAAATAACTATTTCACAAGGGTATGGAGAACAGATAGCACTATATATAAAAATATGCAGAATATATAAACTGTATAAATTCTTGTTAATGCTAGCAAAATGTATACATAAATATAAAAGATGACCACAAAATATATTCTCCTAAACTCAAAAATGCCCCTACTCCACCATGAGCCATCACACTTTATTTGTACAGGAATTAGAAAATTCAGGAGAAAAACCCACTGTAAGGATGTATGGTCTCTTTAGTCCCAGTTGGATACAATGCTCAAATACAATTGCTCTTGGCCCTCCACTTAATCCTAAAACGTGGCGGTTGTTCTGATGTTCCAGAGGCAGACAGGTGGCAGGAGCAGCTGAATGACAGGACAGTGGTCAGCAGCCTGCAGCATGGCTCCTATTTTATGGCCATCATTTGCTAAGGTTTCAGCAGTGAAGAGGGCATTTAATCCTTTTTATTTCTTTTCCTGGAGCCAATGAGATCTATTACTCTGCTTCATTTGGGGCAGAGAGAGATGCTGTTCCCTAAGATAGGAATAAACTCTTCAAGAGTCTGAAAGTGAAATTACAGCCTGATATATCTAAGAATGCAGGAGATTTCCCAGACCTCCTGCCTGGTATGAGCCACAACTCTGGGTGGGAACCCCAGCCTCGCCCTCCATGCATTTCCCCACGGGAAATCCTGTACAAGGAAGTCACCACACCATGCAGGGACAGCTGGGAGTTTAACAAAGAGAAATTGTCTCCAACCTATCAAGAAAATTTGATAGGTTTTCTGTGAAGTATAGACCCAAAATATTTAAATAGCATGAGACTACATTAAAGGAGAATATTAATAAATGTGTACTCAATTCTATATAGGTTCTCCACAGGCTTAAAATACTGCAGGATATAGTAAGAATTTCAGATGAAACCAGATGTCATAAACAGTCAATGTAACTTTTAGATTCTACACTTTAAGTCTTCCCTATGAAATATAAAATTTTTATGTTTATTCTATAAAAAATTCCACTAGCTTCTTCCTCTATAGTATACACTCTGTGAAAATTGTCAATAAGTCTGATTTCAGTCACCACACCTTCAACTCAGAGGTATTCTGCAAAACAGTCTTACTGATTTTACATAAGCACAATCCCACTAGCTGCCCTGGAAGCCCTCCGGGGTGGGGCTCAAAGTGAATTCCAGTTACCTGCCAAGCCAGGCTGTCTCAAACAGAAAAAGAATCTAAGTTAATGTACTCTTCTTAAAGCAATAAAGGGAAAATACAGTCATTTTAACCAGGTGAGGGTTTTGCCCCCAGGTGACATATGATAATGTCTGGAATCATTTTGAGTGTGACAATTTGATTATGGGGGAGGGGTACTGGGATGTATTTGGCAGAAATCAAAGATAACGGTAAACATTCTCCACGGCACGAGACAGCCTCCCACAAGTTATCTGACCCCTACTGTCAGTAGCACCAAAGCTGAAAGACCTTTGGATATAAAGATAATTCCTTAGCGAATAGTTCCATAATTAAAGAGGGATACAGGGGTGGAGGGAGATCACTCAGCAGCATAAGTGCCTGCCTGGCAAGTGCAAGTTCCAGAGAGAGAGAGAGA